TGGGGGCTGCTCCCCCGCTCCTGCGCTTCCGAAATGGGCAGGGCGGGGGATGCCCCCCTCCGCCCCCCATCCGGGCCAAGCAGAGGTAAAACACGGAGAGTTGAATAAATCGGATATATCCTCCTCGTGCCTTACTTCTGGTGCGAAGGGAGAGAGATTTGCACTGAGGCGCCACGGTGGCCTCCTGTGGTGTGCGAGGGTGCAGGCTAGGGGCTTTGGGGACCCAGGAAGGTGACAGCCCCTGCACCGTTAAAAACCCTCCTCCTTTCACAGGTCACCCAGTGAGGGGGGCTTGAAAGCCTTGCAAAGTGAGCCCACCTTCATGGGCCAGGATTATACAAACAGGGGGTTTTTATCTCAGTTCCGGCCATCAGAACGTGTGTTATTTGGCCCAGCAATGTAAAAGGCAAGTGACTGCTGCGTAAGCATGCACCTAGTTCTCGGGTGTTTCAGAGAAACCCCATTTGCACACTTTGCCCCCCCAAGTCATCCTGTCCAAGTCTGAGTCATGACTGAGCTTTCTGTCACTGGGTAAAGGATGTTCAACAGTCAGGAGGGCAGCAAGAGCCCGCATGAACACTTGACACAAATCAGGAACTTTCAGGTTAGCAAACTGCTGGTACATGCTAGTCATCTGGTTTATTTATATCGTGTTCCTCTTTTGTGTTCATACACATCAAAACCAAGCACTTTCCTTCTTACAAGTGCAGTGTTTTGAAGTCAGTGGGAAGATATGGAGGAGGAATGAATGATTTGGTATCGTGCCTTTTAAGCAACTGCAATTCAAAATTTATGCAAGAAAAAAAGCTGTTGGAAATTTCCCTATGTAAATAATCTGTTCTTAACAGATGCACTGGCATTTCGAATACTTTTTTTTTTTGAGTTACTTTTTAACAGCAGTTTAGAGGAAGTTGTACATTGCATTACAGCATTACTGATAGGGGCCTGAGCCCATTCTGCACAGTGGAACAAAAATGGCTCGTAGAGGGATCCACAACCCTCAGCTGCACAATACCAACCTCACATACTCATATTCCTTATATAATAAGTTCAGTTTCACACAGCAACGAAAACATCATTATTTTCTGTACATCTGTCTACTTTGTAACAACAAACAAAATGACGATGCTGTCTTCATGAAAGGGGTGATGCAGACTTTACCATACAGCTCTTGTGGAAAGACCTCTGTGCTTTGTAAGCCTCCCAGAGCTTACAGCCTGCACTGTAAAAGTTGGTTAGTGTCGCTATATTCTATGTCCGCACTTGAAATTCATTGGCTTGAGCAAGCAGACACTCTTTAAAACAGTGCTGAACTAAACAGAGTAATTTAATTAGCAGCAAAGAGTGACAGGATCAAAACTGAGTAACTCATAATTCAGTCTGCCACATCCCTACTGCACTGCCAGCAGACCAGCAGTAGATCATCGAGGTCTTAGATAGCAAGCAAGCTTCATATTCATCTGACACTTGGCTACAAGTTTTTGTGCATCTCTCTGTGCATCTCTCTAGAAAACAGAGTAGACATTCAGCAAGGGCTGGCGGCCAAGGCCCCATTGCCTGGTCAGTGCTGCTCTGCCTTCGCTGCTGCTGCTGCTTTCTGGAGCTCTGTGAAAGCACAGGCCTGCGTTCCTCCACTGCCCCCTGCGTTTTTACTAACCTTTTGGCTGGCGTAGCTAGCAAACCTGGGGGTAAACAGCAAGCTTTACTCCAGCTTGACGCCGTTTGTAACTTCACGAGCATATAGTTAAAATAAAGCAGTGATAAATCAATCCTTGTGGCGTAAGCCTGCACACCTGGGTGAATTCCGCTTGCAGCGTCAGTGATCTTGGCCGGGCAGCTCCCAAGCCCGTGCCCAGCCATGTGCTGCGTGAGCTGCAAAAGGTCCTTGGGCTGCACGCGGTTCGGGAACCGCCTCCCCGTGGTGCCAGCGTGTGGTTTAAACGGGACCTCGTGCGCCGACCCTTCTTACTCAAGCGAATTTCACCCATTGTTCTTAAATATATTTTCCCCTAGTTAATTAAGCAAATTCTTTGTAAAAGAGACCTGAAACTCTGCAGTGCATAGCCACAGGGGACCCGAGGCAGCCTCCTGCTAAAAATTGTGGTAATTATGTAAAAAAGCACCACCCCAGTGTCTGATCCAGCACATTCCTCGGTGCCCTTGAAATTCAATAGGGTTAGTCATCTGAGTGCAGCATTTTAAGTATGAGGTCCCTAACACCCAGCTCTTCTCACCAGCACCTCTTCTGGGCAGAGATAGAAATAGCAGTCATCTCTGCAGAAAAAAAACCCGAGCATCTGACCTGGAGGTGGGAATGATAGATTTTGTCTTCTTTGGCTCTGAAAAATAAAGTGGAATCATACCGGTAATTACATTTTCTGTGGGTGCAGTTTTAATTTTGTCATTCTAAAAAAAGAATGCAATAAAGAGTGTGGGTTTGCTTTCCCTTCAATTTGATGTCTTTTCTTTTAATCTGTGAAACTGCGCTTAGGCTAAATGAACATTTTCACTGTTGCTGCAAGATTTAATAAAGTATTAAAGTAAATTCTATATGTATTCTGTGTTTAGAAACAAGTAATTAAAATAGTTTCAGTGCCAGAGCTCCTCAGCCAATTAAAAATATTTCTTTCTCCAGTTGCTGCTTAAGGAAATCCACAGAAATAGGAGTTTGTCTGTACTTGAGGAATTACAGGCAAAGCAACTTAAATGATCTTTTGATTAAATCCAAAGGACTGACACTTGACATCACTGTAAAAATATCTTCTTTCTCTCAAACCTCTTTTGTTTAGAGCCATCTTGCTTGGAACAGTAACAGTTTAAAAAATAACTCTGAATGAAGTGTGATTTTGAAGTTGACTGAATCAGAAACTTTTTTTGTTTGCTTTCTGCAGTGAAATTTCATTCACTGTTGGCATTCGTGACCGCCCATGTGACAAAGTATTAATGTGAAACAGCTATTTTCTCTTATGCAATACATTATGCAATACAAAAGGCAATGCCATTACTTTGATGCATGTCATTTTATTCCATAACCTAAATGCCTTTCAAAGAAAACTGTTCATCTAATTATTATTACACATGACAAAGTTGCACGTACATTGCCATGTGAAGATCATCACAAACCAAATTTTCCTACTACTATTTCTTCTTTATTCCTTGATATTTTTCAGATCTAGGCTTCTGCCACAGTACTTATTTGTGTTTCTTAATGGGGAAAATTAGTGAGACAAAACGTTTCCTGACCATAAGTTTCAAAAATGAGAGTACTTAACTTACCAGAAATTCTTGTTTGTTTGTTTTCTGAATATCATATTCAATGGGAAATTTTGTTCTAAAACATTACATTTCTTTTATTCTTCTATCTTTAATGAGGTTTTGTACTTTCAAGTAGCTCTGGAAGTCAGGCGGTTCATGCTGAAATCATTAAATGTGAATTTTGGAGATATTTCTAGGATTTATGAGCAGATTTAAGTCTTCAGACTTTGCAGTAGGTGACAATTGTTGTAGGTGTTTCATGGTAAACCCTTCCAAAACTTTTGAAAACAGGTAGTCTGGCTACAAGCAGAGACCATAGGAACTGATAAAGAGCAAGAACTACAAGCCTTACTAGACTCAAAACTAAATGCACCTGTTTGATCTATTTTGGATTTCAGAGTCTGCGAGTTTTGCAGGCAGATAGGCTACACTAGCCAAACTGTATGACTGGATTCAGATGTGATTATTTTATATGATTTTTCTTCTTTATTTGTTGAGATAATGTCAGCAACCCTGCCTTGCAAAGCTGGAATATAGCATGTGCTTCTCCATCAAAATGACACTTATATTGACCCTTCATCCTCCCTCATCCTAACTACTAGAATAGAAAGCATTACTTCTTTGCCTTCTCTCACCATTCTCACCATTCACTGAGCCACCTCAACAAATATACCCCAGTCATATGAAACTAAACCGTTCAGAGAACTAATGCAAGCATATATCAGTGTTCTGCTATCTGTGTTTTTAGTGACAAAAGTACCATTTTCAGTCATATTAGTAACCATCCTTAGTCTGCAGCTCGTCATAGGCTGCGCTGCTGGCTCTCCGTTGTTTGTATCCAGTCAACTGTTATTCGCCTATCTATTTATTTATGTTCTCTAAGCTTAATACCTTCAGATAAAATCAAACAACAGCAACATGATAAAACGATATTAAAAAAAAACACCTAAATCTAAAACCACTGAGTTTTACCCAAGATAAGACTCAGTGATTGTTCATGTACCATTTCAAACTGTAGCAAGCCATAATGCCAGGCACTGTGGCCAAATTCAGTGTCACCTTCTGTGAGAAGAGAGGAGAAAGGTTGAATGTTACTCAGTTCATTCTGTATGTCCTTTTCATGTCTTTTCTTGTGACGTTTCTTTACATAGCATGTTTGCGAGGCAGTCTGATAGTGAATGTGAGGGAAGCAGGGATTTCTGCTGAAAGCAGCAGTCTCTTCTCCTGTTCTCTGTGCCTGTAGTGATTGCTTAGGATGTCTCATTTATCTTTTTCTCTCTTAGGCTTTAGGGAATTCTGTGCTTCCCAGCAGTGTCATAACACATCTAAAGCAAGCACACATCTAAAGCAGGGGCACTGCTCTAATGAAGAGAGGCTGTTTGATGAGGGTGGATGGAGGGAAGTGTGAAAAGATGATGATGCTGGGTTTTTAACTGGATCTGTCAGTGATGCTGTGGAGCTTGCAACCTGTCTTACTTGCCATTCACCATTCACAAGCTGCTGAAAATCAATCGTCCTCACAGCAGGCCCAGTCCTGCTCCCCTCTGCATCAATGTACAAAAATAAAATACTACTCACTTCCGTCAAAACAGGAGCAGGCTCATAATCTGGCATAAAGAACCTCCTTATGTCCTTTAAAAGCATAGCCTGGGCCAAAGGCAAAGCATTAATCTGTTTTTGTGTTATTTATCCCAGCCCCAATGCCAGAAGGTATTCAGCATTTCTGACGGATACTGAACATTCCCAATGGATGCCGAGGTCTTTCCATGGCTACTGGTGGAAGGGAGGGTGAGAACCCTCCGTCCCCGATAGTGGTGCTCAACACCTGGCAAAATTGAGCCATTGATAGGGCAGAAAAGGCTTGTTTTCCTACAGAAAAAGTAACATGCTCGTTTCATGGAGAAGAGCAATACAAATCTGCAGTGACCTCCTCGCTGACTCCTCCTCCTGTCTTTGCAAAACACTTTGCATGCCGTAGCCTGTGCAAGGAGTAATCAGCAAGTTGCAAAACCATGTGCGCAGGATGTGCCCCTTGACTAGGTCAATCAGTTCCTCTTGCCCTCTGCACACAGCTGAAACATAACCCATTCTGGCAATCCACGGCTGATGCAGGGCCTACGCTAGTGGTGTGTCAGCAGAGAGAGTCCTTATTCATGATTTAATCACATTGGTGTTCAACGTGACTTAAACAAAGTTCTTTACCTGAATGGGTTCTGCTAGCACAAGTCATCTCTTACACACGTGCAAAGTTTTTACACCACTTACTCGGTGGTGTAATTGCATTTTAATGAAAAAATATATGCAGTGTAAACAAGTTCTTGGGGACCACTGCCAGATGCCATAGGTCAGAACAGCTCTCATGTTGCTCAA